CCATCTCAGTTTTAGATCTTCTTTCTACTGTAGACTTTGCTCTTAACTCAACTTTGGAATGACAGTGTTTCAGGGTGGAAAAAAAGTAAACAGCCATAATTGTCATATAGTTTTCAGAAGCAGTGCAGTCTTTCAGCCATTCTTGCAGCTCTTGTAATGCTAGGGTGGTTATCTGTCCTGTGCTACAGATGACAGTTCTCTATTTGAAGGACAGTATAATCCAACTCCAGTTTAAGATTTAAAAAACCATCAGGAGTGAGAGTTGCAGAGCCCTGAAGTCGCCCATCAAAATTAACAGACTGAGCAGACACCTAAATGGCCACGGCAGTAAGAGGTGTTATATTCCTATTCAAACCATATACATCATTTCTACATTTGGATCTTTACCTATATAACAGCATATGCAAATTCGATGCAAAGCTAGGCTCTTATTCACGATACATTCCCTCTTTTTAAGTGGCCACCCTACCTCACAGGCATCTTGGAAACATAATCCCTCTTTTCCCCACCACGCTGCCAATAATCATTACCAGGTAAGGAGCAGCAACGTAAAGCTTCCTTCCTGCTACATCACACCTCATAACCTAAATCCATTTCTGGATGACAATTTCTGAAGTCTTCTTGTAGCTATTTCAGCTTACAAAAAGAAGCTGGATGGCAACTGGAACATCACAGTTAATAGACGCAGTGCAGCAAGATCCAAAACGTGAGGTTGGGGTTGATCACTGGAACTAATCGCTCTTGTAGAATAAGGGCAGATGGAGATTTAGACTTCATTAAGAAAGATGAGTCACTTTCATTAGTCATGCAAACTGGGGCTAATATTGTAGACAGGCTTTGGAAATAGCCTGAGAATACATCTTTGCACATCAAGAGCAACTGCACAGTTTCTAATGGATCTTACCTGCACCTGAACCACGGATATTTTAACTTTAATCTCCAGGCTAGCTTCTGTCTAATGGCATGTATATTTTATTTTTAAAATAATAAAATGGCATGTATATTTTATTTTAAAAACTTTAAATTGCTTTCAATTGATTTAAATGTGTCCATATAGCTGAAGCCTAGGCTAACATCTCCATCCACCAGAGGCCGACTTTCCTGGTTGGTATACAGTTTTACAGTTAGAGCTGGGCACAACCCACCTCAGGGGAAAGGAGTGGGCAGCCCTCTCTCTCAAGCAGCGATGGGGTGCACTGGCAGGGGTGACGCCCAAGGGTGCCAGCAGGTATGGCTGCACTCCGTCTGAGCAGGCACAATATGGCGAACTCTGACCGCTATCAAGCTTCACTTGAAGGCTCTGCTGAATCAGACCAAGTCCTAGTCCAACCCATGCAAAGCTGGGTATATTTGCTAGTCAAAAATAATAGGGAAGCACACAAACTATGACCTGCTACCAGACTCAGGACACTCAAATCAAGAGCTGTCTATTCTATAATCCTACAGTCCTGAAGTTGGTTGCAAAAATACTTTTCTGTTGGCCAGATGATGGCAGGAGGCCTTGGTATAAATGCACCCTGCATTTATACAAAGGGAACCAATCCAGAGCCTTGGTACACTTGGCATGTGTGATGCATAACACTGTATCTTGGATGGGTGGAGCATTGCCGTCTTGTTCCCACCTGCATCAGAACACAGGGTCCCAGACAGCTCTTCCGTGGCACATCCACACGCCTGTTTCCTTGGAAGTAAGTTCCACTACGTTCAGGAAGTGTGCACTGGATTGCAGCCTAAACTACATTCCAGGTGCAGTCCATGAAGTTCAGGGTTCAGGCCTCAAAGTCCCTGACAGCCAGCAGGGTAGCCAGCCAGAAGCGGTCAGCCCAAATCAGACTGAGAGCAACCCTCCGAGGTTCAGGCCAGCCATCTGTGTCCAGTCTTCCTATCTGGGGTCTTCTGTAGGCAAAATGGGTGCTCCACCAACAAGGTACCAACTTTCCTTAAATACAGTATCCCACACAGGGGCTTCAAAACCTGCTGGTTTAGCAGTCAGCCTTGAAGTGCTCCCCACACACCCCACACTGGCAGAGTAGTGGTGAACCTGAAAAATCATGGAGAATGGCTAAGTTGAAGGCATTCAGCCTGGTGGATCACTTGGGATGCCCCAGTGTATAAGCGCATTGTACCATTCAGATCAGGCTTGCTCCAACTCGGTGCCTTCCATTTGTTCTGCCCAACGGCTACCAGCATTCCTGAACCTTGGTGAAGTTTGAAATACAAAACATCTGAAAGGCTCAGGTGCAGACTGCTGGTGTAGATTCATTCAGTCAGTCAGTCATTCAGTCAGTCATTCCTACATGTGTGTCCCGCCAGTTTTCCTCTTGCAAGGAATCCAAGGCAGCTTTTGTTGTTCTCTTCCCCTCCATTTTATCCTCATGATAACCCTGTGAGGGAGGAGTCTGTGACTGGGCCAAAGTCACTCAGTGAGCTTTCCCGCCAAGAGAGGAATGGAACCGGAATTTCCTGCTTACCAGTCCAACCACTACTCTCTTTGGCTCTTGGCACTGCTTGAACTGGTTATCTTATTACTTGTCAACCTCCTTTTTAGCCACTGTGGAAGGTGTGTGTGCGTGTGTGCGTGTGCGCGCGTGCGTGCGCGAAAGAGAGAGAGAGAGAGACAGAGAGAGAGATCAAATTCAACACTTGAATTGAAATTTTTGACCTTCATCTTTCATATAGACCCTTATTTCTTGGCAAAACCACCACAAGTACCAATTCTTTATATGAGGGTACACTATGGGATGCTGTGTGAGGCTTGATAATTGGTTATGTTTAGGCCACAGATTTGCACCTCCCCAAGTCAAGGAAAATGGGTAGAGCTTGGACGAAATGAGTCTGCTTTTGAGATAGGGTGTGGAATTCCATGTTTGCTTAGTGGCAAAGATGAAATGTTGCATTTCTTTCCCCCCTTCAATCCTTTTCAAAGTGTTTGTTGTTCTTGTTTACTGAAAGGGTTTCTGAGTTTTTAAACATACCCCATCAGTTTCCCACCTTTCCCTCCAGGTCACTGATGTATAGCTCTTACTTGTATGTAAGGTCAGAAAATGTATGCAGAGCAAAAGGACAATCATGTTATTATGTGATTCACACTGGCAGTAATTAGCAGAGGAAGAGAGAAAATGTTTGCTGCTGTAGCAGCCATGACAAAAAAAGTGCCCTTCTATTTTAATTTCACAACAAGGCGCAGAACAGAGTCCCTGTGACATGCTTCCTTTCTCCCCTGGGAACACCATGGAAAGTGACAGGGCCGGTCTCTGAGGAGCAAGTTGGAGGAACTTATTATCCAAACCAAGCTCCGGGTCACTTTTCAAGGTGTTGCATCAGGCATTGGCTCCCTGGAGTGATTCTTCTGTGAGCCACACTGCGTTCTCCTTTGACCTCCCGCACGATCTTTTTGGGGGCAAAGTAACAGTTCAGCCTCCCCTGACCATTTGCTCACCAGGTACTTTAGACCATCCCTGACCATCAGCCCTGCTGGATGGGGCTGATGGGACCTGTAGGCCAAACCTCTGGAGGGCTGCGATATTGGGGGAGAGTGTTATGAGTGGGTCAGTTGGACAAAACGTATTGCATCATCCACTCCTATGCACAGAGATTTTTACTGGCTTCTCTGAGGGGTGGGCAGGATGTTGCCATAAACTTAGCATACCAAATAGAGAAGGGCAGGCATTTCTGTTGGCTAGGATTTGTCCCAGATGCTCAGAGATGCAGACTGGTCAAAGGGCAGTGCCAAGGGATGAGCTGCACATGGGAATGAGCCGTCACAGCTAAGATGCCCCCCCAATTGTTTTCACAACTTGTTGAGTACCATGATTTTCAGCACAGGCAGTTCACGTATTCCCCTGCCAGGCACCAAGGGCACAGCATGAAAGCTTGAGAAATCAGAGGAGTTCTGCACATGGGTGAAGTAGCCTTTGCTATAGAAAAAAAATAAAAGAATCCTAACAGCCAGTGTGGAGGACCGGTGGGAATGTGGGACAGGGACTCAGGAGATGTGAATTCTGGACTTCCCTGGGACATGAAGCAGCTCACTGGGTGACTTTGGGTCAGCCACTCACACTCAGCCTAACATACCTCACAGGGTTGTTGTGCAGAAAACACAGAGGGGAGGAGCATGAAAGCTGTTCTGAGGTTCCTTGCAGGAGGAAAAATGGCAGGATATGAAAGACATAAACTAAATGGTAATGATAAAATAATGGATATTTATCATCGTAATAAATGTGTTTGAAGACACGTTTATTAGAATCTTTTTAGACACAAGAGTCTGCCTTGTCATATGCGCAGACAAACGCTTGCTCATGACAGCTCAAACCAGAGTGAATATCTTAGTCCTTAAGGTGTCATGGGATTCTTTAGAGTAGCAAATCTAAAGGGTTTGCAGGATAGTAAATGAAAGCTCCTTGAATTCTCAGGTAGTGGAAGAGATAGAGATGATTCAGACATAACACCCAGCACTTGCTTTACTCCGCTGAATCCCTGATCTCTAATGCCGCCTTCCCCAACATGGTGCCCTCCATATGTTATGCCCACAGCTCCTACTGGCCATGTCGGCAGGGCCTGATGGGAGCTACGCTCCAACTACAGGCTGAAGAAAACTAACGACTCTCAACTGAATGCCTGGACTGCCTTCATTAAAAAATACTGAATTCATCATGGTACAAAGTTTTGGGCCCAATCTGTGTTGACAAATGTCAACAAAGGTCGAAGTCAGCCTTGGGCTTTAATCTTCTTTGTGAATGTGGGGCTTCTACAGCTGAACTTGTGCATACTACTTGGAAAATCATAGCCATGTACCTAGAACACCGGATGTTTGCTGGCCGCTGGTGAAAGAATCAATGAAGGGCATTGCTTCCTTCTGTTTGACCCACAGTAGCTTAGTGGCTTGGAAGCACATTTTTGGTTTTGGGCTAGGCTTATGCCAAGAAGTCTCACATGAAGATAATGAAGCAGCTCAATGCTGCATGTAGTTTTAGGATAGCTGAGTCAACATGAATGGAAATGCCCACTCTGGCAGGTAGAATTTTCTTATCAGGCCATGAAGGATACACTAAAGAGTCATACTGAATTCTACGTGACCCTTCAAATAACTGAATACTATTCAGAATAGGATGTTTTCCCATCAGGAAAGCATGGCTACCTAATGAATGGTTTTTAATCAAGGGTTTTATACTCTGGGGCATCCTTGGAGAAGACTGTACCTTCAGGGCATCTGGCGTGTCCTCCAGGCAGTAGACTTTCAGGTTGTACTCCAAAGAGGTACAGAAGGTGGGAGCAAAGATGGCGAGCTGAAGTCTCTTGATGGCTGACCGAGAGCAGGACTCTCCCACGAGGACGTATGTTCCGAGCTGTTCGAGAAGAATGTGGCAGCACTTGGCTTCCAGCTGGCAGTAGCAGGGAGTGTTTAAAGTCTCCTCGTCCAGAGTTACAACTTCCTGGAGAAGAAGTGGGTAGAAAAGCCACAGGCATAAAAGCTTCCTTCTGGGTACCTAGTTGCTTGGCGGAGTCATGATTTAAAAGGCTAGTCTCACTATTTATTAGCATCTGGGCTATACACACAGTTAGCATCTGCTTTTCTGTTTTGTCTAAAGAAATACTGCACCAAGTGAACCAAAATTCCTTGGTACAAAATAAGAACTACGGCTTGCATAAGTTGTGCAAATTTATTATTTCTCTGGTTTTGCATAATTTACTCTTCCATTTGAAGGTTATTTTGCATAATATATTCTGCAATTTTAACTGCTAATTATTTTGCACACATTATTCTACTTCTCTGATTCATGGAGTGGTGCATATATATAGGCTAACTATTAAAATAGATTCCGCAATCTTGTAGGTTCTGTGATTTAATAAGATATTCCATATATTTTCAAACTTATCTTTACAATCGTGAAGGTAAAGGTGCTTTGTTTTTAATGGGAGATTCTGTGCAGTTGAATTTTGTTGCCAATGTCACATTCTAGGCTTTCAATGCTTTTCTGAAGTTCTGCAGGACGGCAGCATCCGCTTTACCCTGGTAGCAAAGCAGCAATGCAATACTTGCATGTTCTATCTCTGCATGTAATTTGGTCCTGCAGTGCCCCTTAGTGGAAAATACAAACATTGCCACTATGGGCTTCTGTTATAATTATGCTGCTCCTAGCATTTAATTCAAAGCCATATATTAAACGTACACACATTCTAGACTTGAGAGTGTAATGATATTCCCTATAAACGCTAGGCAACCAAAGGCCATTTACAAACCCCCCCCCCCCCCAATTTGTACCATGCTTGTACCATGCTTTAAGCAATTTGTACCATGCTTAAAGGAAGAATTCACGATTTTGAATCATGAGGCTTAGCAATGTTAGAAACGGACAGATTATTTACTGGGGGTGTGTGAAGAAGGTAAACATAGAAAAGATCTGCTCTACAGATTGCTGAACAACATACACAAATATAACTGCATCCTTTTGGCTGAAAATGAATTCCCACGTCATTCCCGTCATTCAGCTTACCTCCCAGTTTCCTTGGTGGGAATGAGTTTTCAGCTGCAGCATCCAGTCTGGAGAACTGACGTCTGCACAGTGTGGCACAGTCAGGATGACGGGGCGGGATAAGAGCAGCCCTGTGGGCCCGCAGGTCACCACGGGACTCAGCACCGTCTGTGTGCCTTCCGAGGGCAAGCTGGAGGGTGCAAGACGAGAAAGGCCTCAGTTGCGCTCACACACGCCTCCGGCAAAGGAGCCCTGCCCTCTGCAGTCTTGGCCCTTGCACAATTGTCTTGGGTTGGAAACGAGCCTTCCTGGAGGGCCATCCAAGATCGGAGGAGAGTGGTGGGGATGAGCAGGGGTCCAGGCGCTCCCTACATTCCTCCTTACAAGTGCCAGTCAGTGCAATGACTTGGGCCGTTGTCAGCTAAATGAGGATGGGGAAGCTTGAACCAAATGGTACAATGTTTTGTTTCCAACCTGACTCAAGTCATCTTGGTTAAATAAAGCCCTGAAGGAGCAGGAACAATCCAAATCTGCCATTTTTGGAGGAGAATCTAATAAAACAGTAAAGGTTGAATTACCGCCACCTTCAGATCTTTCCAACTCTGTCTAACCTTTCTTAAGGGAGTCTAAGGGTTTGTACTGGTTTGGCAATTTCTACCACCTCCTGCTTGCCTTTCCTTATCTCATGCAACAATCTACACTTGCCTGTTTGCTTCCCAAACAGCACTGGCCCAAGATACTTTGCTGTCTAAAGCAAACCTGTCGAGGTTTCTTTCTGCCAGTGCTTTAAGGCACCAATTGCATCATTTGGACACCAGTTCCTCCTTCCCAGTGCCTGCTGATGAAAGCGAGCAACGGTTTGAGAGGGCTGGCTCTGTTCCAGAAGTGGAAACCGTTTGCTTTATTTTGTCTTCTGCATTTCCTTCTTCGTCTAGACTTAATTGTCTAATCTGCTAAGTTCTATGTTTTTATAATATGATTCATTATTACAGCCCTTATCTTATAAGTGTACTACATGGAGCTTTTAAGACTACTTGAATCAGGGGAATATTATAGCCATATTCTTTGTATAGAAGCTATCTGCATGGATTTATGTTTCTGTGTTGCAACATTGTATGGTACTATTGATGACTAAGTACAGGGTTTGTTTCATGTTTTTGCTTTACTAGGATGTTCAAGCGGACTACGGTGACAGACTTCGCATACAAGGCTGCAATATTATGTATGCGCCATCTTTAATATATGTTGGTTAGTGCATCCACTGAATCCAGAGAGATTTGAGCAACTGAACTGCGCACTGAACTGCAGCCTACAGAAAGATCCAATCAATCTGTCAGCCTGTCTAATGATACAGCTGCCACAATGCATGTCCCTTCCCTTTGCCTGCAACAGGATATTAAGCAATCTAACTGTGTCCAGGATTTGTGCCAAGGGATGGAGGAACCAACCCTTTCGGAGCTGTACAAAATTCTCTGCAAATAACTTAAAAGTTTATTGTGACTTGCTCCTTTTTTCATTTTGACCTGTTTTCCAGCATTTTGAACAAGAAAGGTTCATGTTTCTATGTGTACCTTTCAAAAGTATGTGCTTTTCTCCATTGACAAAAATGAAAAATGTGTATTTTAAAGTGTGATTAAAAAAGAAAAAAACACTCATTTTTTTCAGACTTTATCCAAATTTGGAAATTTGCAGATATTTCTCAATAAAAGTATTCCCACTCAGGAGCACCTTTTTGGGATTGTGTCCTGGACTGGCTAGGACATGCATGCTTGAATTATGAACAGAAATGAATTTCTCATAGATCAGTCTTGGTGCTCTTGAGTGGAGCAATGAGGAGGTGGGAATGAGAGTCGAATAAAGACAATAGCAAGGGGAATTAAACAGAATTAAGCAGACGGCCTGAGTGCTAAAGAACTGTTCCACTGTTACATTTACTCATGTTGGCTTTGGATTCAGTCCAGACTAAGTCAGCAGTGCCTCGTTCCCACAGAAATCAACGGGGCTGATTAACTCTTCGTATTGATTCCAAGGGGACCTACGTAGTGCAACCAGTGTAGTCTGGATGCAACCCTGTGGGCTTGTGTCTGGGCAAAACAGGGGTTTCAGAAACAGATGGCGACACAACACGCATGAGGGTAGGGGAGGACACGAAAATGCAAATCAAAACTCCCCACTGGGCAAGGGGTCCCAGCCGCTGTGGGGCTTTTCAGATAAGGCAGGGCAGAATTAACAACAGGCCGAGCTCTCCATCATACTCACAGACTGTTTTCTGTTTTGTTGATCATCAGGTACATTTCGTAGAATTTCCCTTGAGGAATGGCTCCATGTGGCACCAACAGACTCACCCCTAAGAAGAAAAGTGGGGCGTGAGAAACGAACACAGGCACTCCAGTATGTCAAAAGGTTCACTCCTCAACAACTCTGCAACATAGTCTCTGATTCCAGCTTCTTCCGCAGGTCAGGAACACCCTCTGCCCTTTTGCAGCCAGTATGGGAAGAACTGCCCTGGCTGCTGCTCAGGGGTCACAAAAGCAGTCTTGGAGAAGAGGGTAAGAAAGAGAATTTGGGGTGGGCTGGAGAGGACAGCATCACCCTCAAGACATGAGGATTCTGGCAGTGAGGCGGCTTCCTTCGCTCCCTGCCCAAAACTGCTGCATTATTATCATTTATTTGATTTATAGAATCACACCCAATGGACCCAAATGAGACCCCCCCCCCCCCCCCCCACACCGGGTGGTGGATTCTAGCTATTTTGCAGAGGAGCCCTCTAATTGGAGGCTTGGAGGGCTACCCAAAAGACTGGACTTTATTCATGCATGTTTTCTGATTGAAAAATATTCTTAGACCAATTTAAGGGGAAAAGCTTCCCCTTAAGAGATCATATACAAGTATACAGATAAATACACAATATAAAACACTATAAAAGCTAAGAAAATATTTTCTAAGTATTCTTAACAGAGGAGAAAAAAATTACACTTCTTAACTCTCTTTCTGTCACTGTTAATATGACATGATTTTGGGGTGGCCATGGATTATGCTTTGGAAAGTTGACCCATAATACCTCTGGTCCAGTTTAGCCCAGAAGGAAACCAGAAGCCGATTTCAGCTCTGTGCGTTACGTTTTGCTTTTTCACCCCATCTCCACTTAAAGAGACCTGCATCACTGCACAGCCGACCTTTCCCTGAAGGCCTTGGAATAGTTGCAAATGTTCCCGGAGAGCGGGAAGAAATGTCCAAGGGCACAGGGAGCAGCATTCCTGGAATGGCTGCATAAAGTCAATCATGGGCTGGCGACGGGGGAATAAGCTGCAATCCAGACAAGACGGAAGGACTGTGGATATCCCTCTTCTAGACAGAGTGATGCTTTCCCGAATTATAGCAGGACATGGCCAGAAAGTACAAGCAGAGAAGAAACAGAGTGCTAGATTTCAGGAGCAAGGACTGCCCTTTTAGGGCTCTCAACTCTCCGGAAAGGGGGCACAGCTGTCTTAGAGTTACCCAAGTTATCCGCAGCGCCATCTGGACTATGCTGGTCCATCCTCCTCTCTGCCTCCCTCTTGTTCCATGGGGTCCTTCCTGCCGTTACGAAAGCTCCCTTCGTGCTGAGGCTTACCTGTCCCGGGGATGGTGAGTCTTCCTCCCAGGCAGCCAAACGTCCCAGTGGCACTGTTCCCAGGCTCCCGAGGCAGGGTCAGGAGCTGCTGAGAGCCCATGGTCTTATTCCTTAGGTTCATGAAATGGTTATCCCTGAGGTTTTCCCCTGGGAAGGTGCCTGGGGGCATGGCTCCTAGCAGGTCTGCCCCCTCGTGCATCCCGGGAGAGGATGATGCAGTGGAGGAATTATATACTTTGATCTTGAGATTAGGAAGTGGGTCAAGCAAGGGAGAGTTGGTCATCGGGATCTTGTCGGAGGAATCTTGCAAGGCGTACATGGGCCCACGGTAGATGCCCGCGTTGGCTGTCAGGTCGGGCTGCATTGAAGGGTGCAGCAACTGGGGAGTGTCTGCAAAAGGGACCATAACAAATGTTGAATCGTAGGCAAGTGTATCATAATGGGAAACACAGTCTAAAAACAAGAGTACATACTAGTTCAACTGCAACTGCCTTCGTTTCATAAAAATTTGAAAGGAAACTATTGCAATAATTTATCATGGCTACTGTTACTGATTAACATAATTAGTAGCCCTTCTGCAACACGAAGACGTGGTGAAATTCTAACATTGTGTTGTGCTAACCTTGCGAACAAATGGCTGAATATCTGAACATATGTCGCTTCAATTTAACTGTTTAACAGGGTTTATGCTTATGTTTTTAATTTAACGTTTTAAAATTTTAACACTGTATTATTTTGATGCTTGTACCACTGTTTTACCACTCTTGTTTTATTCTTGGTTATTTTGTTGTCTGGTTTTATGGCTGTAAACTGCTCTGAGGACATTTGCCAGTTGGGAAAGTAAACAAAATAAATAAATAAGTTACGCAAATAATGGATTTCAGTGTATCACCACCATTTTTAGCCTGTTTGCTAACGTTCTTCCTTTTAAAACATTTTAATAGTCATTTCAAGAAAAAAAACAGAGCATCTCGTGGCACACTGAAGACTAACAGATTTATTCCAGCAGAAGCTTTGGTGGACCAGAGTACCCATCATCAGACACATGGGATATGTGGGCAGTGCACACAAAAGCTTATGCTACAATAAATGTGCTGTTTCTCAGGTGCCTCTAGAAGCTGTGTTGTTTTTGCTGTGACACACTAAAGGCAGCTAGCCTTCTGGAACATGTGATGTAGAGAAAATGGAAGCATATTCTCTGTTTACACCCGACTGAAGAGATTCTATGATTCATAGATTCAAAGCGACTGTGATTCATTCAGAAAGAGAAAATGTTATCTCAATTCATTCTGAAGCCACGGATGGATGTTTTGCTACTGGAAGTAGCCTTATTAACTCTCCCCAAAGAAGGCCAATGCTGAGGAAAATAAAACAGATAGTAGCATTTGGGGCTTCACTGCTTTTACACTGCAGGGTGGGTTGTTGTATTTTTGAATGCTCCTCTCCATGCAAAAACTACCTAGGTGTAGTAATTAACCTTTAAATCCTAAACCTCTCTCCCAGTGTGGTATTTTACTACCTGCAAGGAGCTTTTAAGTGGGGGAAAGCATTCTGAAGGCTGAAGTCCCACCTGTCATTGGAAATGTTGCAGCTCATGCGTAATGGGCAGGACAGCTCTGAGATACCAGCAAACTGCTTCTGTCCAAGCGATTTAGTCTTTCCTCTGCACGTGAGTGCTTTGTTTTATCTTCCTCATGCTATTATACTTTGCTGTACATGTTCCATCTTATTTGGTGTCAGAAGTGATTTTGTTAAATCACTTAACAATGGGATATTCTCACTACATTAGGCAAAAACTGAGGTGCAGAGAATGGGTGTTTCCTGGGGAGGTCCAGGGGGCTCCTGGCTAGCCGGTGTTGAACTTTGCTTCAAATGCAGCTCTCTGCCCAACAGAATCAAGCCAAGGGTAGGGACAGCTGAGCCCCTGGCGAGGAGGACAAAAAGACCCTCTGGCAAAAGCTCCCTGGAGCCGTGCCTCCTCCTTTGCACCCCTGGAAGCTGCCTATTCACCCATCTCTTGCTCCAACCTAGACCACGGTGGAGAGAATGGTCACCACTGCTGATGTTCTGTTCCTGCAGGAGCACAGCCTGGCAAACCAGCCAAGGCCAGTATTGATGAGAAACAGGAGGAGCAAGAGCATCTTCTGGGGATACTGGTGGTGGAAAAGTACTCTCACTGAGGGGGGGGGGCACTGCTTTGCTCAAAGGAATTAGAAACGGCCATGCTTGGTTCTACCTCCTCCTCCTCCAGCCACAACACGCAGAAGAGACACACAGAAGAAACAGGGTTCAACCCCAATGAAAAACAAGCTGGGGACTTACCATGTCTGGAAGTCTTGAAGTTGACGGGGTGGAAACCTCCTGTCAGAGCGGCTGAAGAGTCCGTTATGTCGGTGTCAAAGTCCCGGCAGCTGCGCCTGTACACCACCACTCCGATCGCCATTAGGATGACGACGAAGACAAAGATGGCCACCACGAGTCCGGCATACAAGGCCACATCGCCAGTAGCCTCCAGGACTGTGGGGTCAAAAAGATAGATTAAAAGGGAGCAGCCACCTCCTGCCTGTTTGCTCATTTCCTTATTTGAACAGTGTAGGCAGTCTCTGCACAGGACTACAAGTTCCATCAACCCTGCCCAGAATAACCAATGGTGGGGATGATGGGTTCTGTAGTCCAACAAAATCTGGACAGTTCCTTATCTTTGATTTTAAATATACCCCATTGCTGACTTAAAACATTAATAGGTTGTTTCTTCAGTAAACTACCCTTCCATAACAACCTTTGAGCCTGCAACTCAGAATCCAAAGCTGAAACACTGTAGGGGCAACCACATTTTCCTCATTCATGCCATGATTTTTCTCTTGGGTTTTGTGGAAAGAACTTCAGATAATAATGCCTGTTTAATCTTTTAAAACCTTTTTATTTCCCCAATATTTTAAGATCTGATTATTGTTTTTAAAATGGGTTTTTATTTATTGTTTGATGCTGTGCTTTATTGTGCTTTGTTGTACTACCGTCCTGAGACCCAGGTGAAGGATGGGATAGAAATGCTTTTAATAAATAAATAAATAAACTCTCTGAAACAGCAGGCTGTGAACAATAAGTCCCTTAAACTTGAGTTCGCAGCTTTCTCACGGTCAACCATATCCAATTCCTACTCAGGACTTTCATTTTTAGTGGTGTGATTCCTGATGCCATGCTATAGAGCGCAACTGTGCGGGGGGGGGGGGGATCACATGTTTTTCTCTTTTACGATCTGAAGAAGGGGATAGGAATTTGGGGACAACCTGTCGGCAGAATCCAACACTGGGATGGATGTTCATGTTTCAAGATCAGCAACTGTAAATCCACCACAGCTCTGAGAAAGGGGGCAAGAAGGGCTGTCAGAAATGGGCTCTCTGGGGCTTGGAAGGGGAGTAAAGCTGGAAAGGAGAAACAAGCTGGGCAGGATCAAGCAGAAGAGCAAGCGATAAGGGCAACCACAAAAAGGGAATGCCAACAAAGAAGAGCCCTGTATGAAACTAGAACCACTTGTTCATGTGTCAGTTGGAGAAAGGCAAAGCCAGAAGCTGTAGAAGACAACCTGGGCATTCAGCAAGAGTTCTGAGCACTATGGCTCAGAGGCAAGAGAAAGGAGCACCCACCAAAAGTCGCTGGTTCAAGATCTGCCACTCCTAGCATGGCATTGCTTATCTCCAGCTGCCTGCGCTATTAAATTAGTAGACAGATAAGCTTGCACAGCCACACACTGGACTAATCACAAAACCCTAATTAACATCACCTCTAGAACCATCGATTTCTACACATTGCACTATGACTTTCTGGTGCACAGAAGGGGCATAGGAAAGAAGGAATCTTATCTTGATATTTTTAAAAGGCATATTTCGGTGTATATGTGTTCTGAGAGATCGAATGCACAGAGAGGGTTGCTAGTCCCTGAATCAAGTCAGGTTCATTCTGGCAGCAAACTGCTCATCACTTCTGCTGATTAGGGAACAAAATGCCATCAGTTCCTGAGCAGCCACGCAAGCAATTATGTTTGCTGCCACTCAGGCCCAGTCATATTTCTCCCCCTGCAAACTATGTTGGCTCTCATCTTTAGCATCTCCTTGCTCCATAAAGTTTATTCATGTCAAAACTTTTGGCCTTGGATTCAACCTCTCCCAAGTTTTGCAGATAAATCTAGCCAAGTAGAACTGCCGAATGTCTGGAGCAGAACTTGGCACCATCCCACTGGAATCAATAGCAGACATATGTGGTTAATTTTTTCTGGATTTCATCCAGGATTGGGACATGGTGAGCGTATGCAAAATTTTTGCCATCTTGAAGATGTTACAAGGGCACTGCCTCCAGATATAGCAATAGGCTGGCATTTGCATTGCCAGAGCTAAGTTCCTTTCCTCTATTCCCTCCTCTTTCCTCGTTTTCCATCTTTCTTGCTTCACAGAAGACTCCTTTCTTGCTTGTCCTGCACTCACATATCTCATCTTTCTGAAGGGAAAATCTGGAGGGCAACTTGTTACATGGCAATTATATCTGGATTACATTTAACACTGCATGTGAGCCTCTGGGAAATATTTTCTTAAGGGGGTGGCAGGTATAGTGAGATGAAAAAGGAGTGAATGGGATTTTACAGGCACTGAGGAACACACATATTATAGAGAGGATTTCGCAAAGATTGCCAAAGTAGATAAGGGAGCCCCCATGTTGGCTTCCATCATTAGATTCCACTGAAGGCATTTCTCCTGGATTTGGATTCCGAGGTACAATACACAGCAAGAACCACTACTATTTTAGAGCTTGGAGTGAATATTTATCAGCTACAAGTCAGTATTACACATTACTACAGCCCAAGAATATAGGTGGTGTGCTCAGCCCAAGCTAGCTCCAATCTCCAGCCTGACAGTGGGAAGGGAAGGGAAGGGAAGGGAAGGGAAGGGAGAGCGAAGGAAGAGTGAGGTCACCAGACTCACAAGAAGAGAGGGTTCTGAAGCGGGTTTTGGAGAGAAAGACACAGAGAGCGCCATGCAAGATGGGGTGGACAATTTCTGGCCCTCAGATGTTTTGGCCCTCCATAGCCAAAAGTGAGGGATGGCAGGCGTGTGGTCTTGCAGCCAAAAAACATCTGCCCACTCCCAGCATAAGGCCTGTAAGCGTTTTGAGAGGAGGGCTCAGGCATAAGGAGTAGGCTGGGAGAACAGGCACAGCTGTTTAAAAAAGCAACAGAATTTTAGTTTTATGAGGATGACAGAGTTGGAAGAGTGACATTTACTGAACCATGATTGTCACCTCTTTATGTGATATTCAGTCTGTATCACAGAAGAAACAAGACTATTACTGGCTAGACTAATACAGACAAAAATATTTACAATATTCTGCACTGTGTACACCTCATGCAGAACCAACTACACCAGGCTTTCCCTAACTGGTGCCATCCAGATATTTTGGACTTCAACTTCCATCATGCCTAGTCAACGTGGGCAATGGCCTACAATGGGATTTGTAGTCTAAAATCTGAAGGGCAACAGGTTGAGAAAGGCTGAACTCTGACTATTGTGCTGGATGTCCATAAAAAGTTCATGTTTACATCTTATTGTCACTTGGTGCAGCTACATGATGGCAGGAAAGGGACAGGACTGTGATAGGAATACACCCTGCTCTGGCAACCCAACCCAACCCACCCCACCTTCCAGGGTGTTACTGCTGTGCGTGCATTATATGTCAATGTTTTGCAAATAATCAAGTCACTTGTGAGTGACAGGAAGGAGATGGGGAAGAAAGCCCCCAATGCTGGGACAATTTTTTAAAAAAACTTTTCTCTATTTAATAGAGGAATGGACAAACACTTAAAAACATCTCTATAACTTCTGTGATTTATTATTAAAGGAAAGCTGAAGATACAGATAAGGAGCAAGAGACATCAATGAGGTCCCACTCATGTGCCTTATTATGTGAACCGGAACTGAACCAAAACCATCAATACATTATAACTGTGGAGTTTGAAATAGCTCCTTTTCAAACAAACCTAGTTTGCTCTGCAAGGCTGGCCATGTACACACCGCTTTATCCCCACTTAAATCTTCGAGGTTCATTTGAGCTGCATTCAACCTGCCCGAGACTGCACGGCCTGCTCTGGAAGGGAAACATCTCCAGGACAAGCATCTCCAGGACTTAACCCCAAGGAGCAACAAGTGCTCATCATCAGACCAGACCAGACCAAACCAAGCCCTCAAGTGAATAACCGTAAAAGAAAATGCTCATGAAATGGAAACTTACGGTGACTTTTGGGTTCGCCTACAAATCTTTTATCTGTTAGGAAAAACAAAGTTGAAAAGAACAAAGGTTGAACAAATGAGGATGATGACAATGAGGGTGGTAATAAAAGAAAACAAGGCATGGGTGAGCAGCTCTGGCAAACCAAGGGGAAAGGGTGCAGCTGAAAATGCAAGCGTGATGGAGTGATCCCTGCAGATGGAGCCTCACAAAGTGCACTGGACAGGTGGGTGTGTCTGCCCCCAATAACAGCACAATCGCCAAGAAACGTCGCAGATGCAGCCTCAGCCGTGGCTTGAGAGACAGCACTGATGGCACCAGAGCAGCCCTGCAGGAAGTAAGGCGTGCAACCTGCATGGATCGTCCTTCACAGAGGACAATCTTGGGCCTGGATTGTCGAGAGAGCTGCCTGGGTCAAAATATAAAGGTTTAGAGGTAAAGAAGCACATTAAGACGGGAGGGCAGGGAGGGGCCCTGAAGTTCCCCATCAGTACTTGGCCCCTGGGCGGCAGGCTGAGCGGTGGGCCACCTGGTCCAAGTCTTCCTCTCCACGGAGAGATGTGTTGCTCTTCTAATCCAGTTACAGGAATGATGACAACACGTGCCTCTCTAGCTATGCATCTGCATATTTATTTATAAAATTTGCATGCCGTCCAATTACTTGCCTCTCTGGACGGCTTACAACATGGATAAACTGACAATCCTCTCTGGTATATGGAGCATATACTAACGTGCTCCGTGCCCTTGTCTCGAGCGAAGCATTTCCTCTTTCCTGGCAACAGGCAAAGGGCCACCCTTTGCAAACCCAGACAAAAGGGTGCATAAGTTGTGCAGCATTTTGTTTCCCACAGCCCGGCCGGATGCCGAGCATGCAGCGAGAGCGCTCTCCCACTGATGCTCCCCCACAGTCCTGTGGCGCTGCAGACTCTCAGTCGATGGAGCATGAGCTGAGCCGCGAGGCTGTAGGCACCTACATCAGGGTCCCCTCTGGGGTCTCTCTGTTCCTCCCAAAGCTTGCCATGGTTTGCTGTTGGGGCCAAACTAGATGTTCTTCGTATCACACACAGCAGAAGTATGCAGGATGGGTTTCCTTGCTCCTCCGTAAGTGCGTGAGGCCCTATTTCAGATCAGGACTGTGCTGATCTGGGAGAGGGGAATGCAAGTTTTCCCTCTCCCATTTGCCACGCTGGAATCTCGCCCCTTGCATGTTTTTTTTGATAAGTCTCAATGAATTCCAAATAAGATTTTTGTCTTTTTTCAAAACTCCTCACAGGTGGGAGAGAAATTTCACATGGAAATGGGAGGGGGAAAGCTTAATTTGCCCCTCCCAAATTGCCGTGGTCCTGATCCAAATCAAGCCCACAAGGACTTACGCAGAAGTAAATAAATCGATCACACGGAGTTCTTCTATATGGATTTTTAAAAAGTGTTGTTTGTTCCTCTGAGAGATACACATCAACTTGCAACTCATCTGGACAGAAGTGTTGAGTAGCCACATTAGAAGTCTTGCCCTCCCACCTTCATTAGTGAAGCCTTGTTATTTATGAGTATACAAATGCACCTATGCACCCACTGATTCATCACTTTAATAGCTGCTTAGCCAGTCCTGCTTGCAAATGTTTATTTACAGAAGAAAGCCATTGTTACTCCATGTTCCCGCCTCAAGGTCTCTCCTTTTTGTTCTTCGTTATAATGGCACATCTATTTTGCTGTACCAGTCCAAAGCTGCCTAGTTACAGTTCTGCAAATTCTGCTTGTATTTAAGAGAAACAACAACCAGGAACCAAGCCTGCAATTCTAGGAAGAGGATGCATGTATGAATGGGAATGAGAAATGTGTGAAGGTTAAATCAGCACAGCAAGGGACAACCAAAAAATAAAAATATAAATAAAGGAGGAAAAACAGCTGAAATGTAACAAGAGGGCTGGTCTGGCAATACCCTAAGAATTAAGCTGTTAGGGCAAGCATCCAAGTGTCTCAAGTCTACTTCTGATTTCCTCACACTCCCTTCTCATTATGGAAAACAATGTTTCAACATTCTTTTCAACCTTCAGGACTTTCAATGGAGACTCCAAACATCAAAGCATTGATTGTATTCTCATCAAAGCATTGATTGTATTCTCTACCATCAGCACGGTTGGGGCATTCCCCCAACTCATATAGTGAAAGGCACTTTAAACAGATTAAAATATGAACTGAGAAAGTGCTGGGAAAATCCAAAGGACCTATTTTACACGCTGTGTCACATTCATATATTAAACCTGCTGCAGCCGTAAAACCCTTGTAAGGTGGTCTTCTGCAGCCTGGTGGCCTCCAGATGTGCTGAACTACAGCTCCCAGCAGCCCACCCAGCCACATCTGGAAGGCTGTCAGCTGGGGAAGGCTGTTCTCAGGTCTCTGCCCGCTCCCCATGCACTCACTCCAATCAGTGAAGGAGGAGGGCCACGCCTGGATGCCGTGGCCTCTCCCTTTGCTGCTGCTTGGTTTTCTTCTCAGTGCCTTTTTCCTGTTAAGTGTTAACTGCCAGCAGCAGCCTAGCACTGAGCACAGCTTGGTTCTGCCTACAACGGCACCCGACCTCAGCTGTCATGACGCCTTAATTTTCTCCAGCAATAAGTTTCTCCAGAGCCAGGAGCTACTGAAAGGCAGGGAGCTTTTTTGAAGAAGCACATCTCTGTTTATCAGTGCAGGGTCCCCTCCTCCATACCCTCCACTGCATGCCAGCACGATCAGCCCTGAGATTTCATTTGAGACGACACAGAAACAGTCACACAGCGGGGACACGAGGCAGGGCTGCAGCCTGTTGGCAGGGAGGGTGCTTGCTTGGGGAAGACAGAATTCCGGCAGCAAAATAAAAAGCCCGTCAAGTAGCACCATAGAAATCAGCATGCCAACAGCAGGGGGCAGCACTGATCCAGTGATTTTAAAACATCAGAATGAGAGATTTTAAACATTCCCTCATCAAAAAGGATATTCTTGTAGCAAATTTTGATTTTCTGCTAATTTGGACAGTTATTCACATTGGCTTATCCAAATATGCCAGTTCTCCTGCATCTCCAGCCTTACCTAAGGTTAAGGTTAGGTAGGTTAGCAGAAAGGTTAAGACCAAACCACATTTGGAGTTCATACACATAGGTTAAAATACTGGTGGTCACTGGCCCATCCAACCATTCTACCACCACTCCAGCCATTGGCCGAGCTACTGTGATGACACAGGATGTCCATAAATGGACAAAGAGGTTAGACAGAAGGTGCCAGCAACAGAATGCTGATGAACAGCACCCTTCTCTGAGCTAAGTCGAAAGGGTCCTACAAGGCCGAAAGATGGAGGGAGCTGCGCGATGCTGGGCAAAGGCGCTTGGCGGGCTGCAGGGGCGTGAGCTGGGGAATCAGCACTGCCAATGAAATACGTGTGTTGTGGATTTCAGATACCGATTCAAGCTAACCAGCTGAACATTTGGCTGCAGGGGTCTAGAAGTTGAGACCTTTGAGGTCTGAAGCATCAAGAACTTCATCCATTAAGTGGGCTGGACAACTGGGGATGAAGATTTATATAGGCACAAGTGCAATGACCCATCATCAAGGTTTATATACAGAAATAGGACCCTTCGAATCTCCTCAGCATCAGAGGAAAGGGACAGATCCTCACAACACAGCAGGGGTGGGGTGAAGTTTGGGCTGCAAGCATGCCCAAGATGAAATCACCCGAAAGGGCGCCTGTGTGTTAGCCATAAAACAACTGAAGGAGGAAGTCTCTTGTTATTGTTCAAATGTCCCCTGGGCTCTATGTGTGATGCTAATCTAAGAACACCTCATATGAGAAAGACTGCCTGCAAATTTAACCTCTTCCAACCATCTGTGAGGGTGAGATAAGAAACCCTTGTGTTTCTGAGGGAGACAGGTGTCTTTACAAGCCTCATGCAGTACTGGATGTCTAAACTTGCAACATGCATGCTTTAAGCCCACCCGTTGGCTACATCCTTGAAGGACCATCTTCCTAGTCAAAAATACATGTTCTAACACGCGGGGTACTGGTGGCAAAGCTTGTTGTCAAGTGGCATGGAGGTCTATGCACTCTGCACAAGATCCAAGCAGGGTTCGTGTTTATTATTGCTTCACAGTTCTGCAGCTAAGCCTTGGGAATGAACGTAATTTCTGCAGTGAGTGAGATCTGGATCAATTTAAGCCGTGACACCACCCTCCCAAAGCTGCTGCCATCCAGCCTGTTGTGCAGCAGCAGGACTACAGCTCCCACAAGCTCCTCTGAGCACCTACTGGTTAGGGCGATGGAAGCTGTAGTCCAATGCAACTGGAGGAGAACAGGTTGGGAGAGGTTGCCATGAGGTCATGCAAAGCCAAAATCTCCACTGGACAACGGCTGCAGAAGTGGAGGAAAAGAAATGGAATAACCATGAGATGTGGGCTGGGTCTTTTATTTCCACGGGGCAACAAGACGCCATCCACATGTCCTTGATCCTTCTGGTGTCTTCTCTCTCTCTCTCTTCTATGAAGAAGATACTTAGTTCCTCTTCTCACAGTTACATGCCTTGGTCTCAAGGAACAGAAGAGGCCCCCTGGCCATCCTGACTTCTGAGTGACAGCATGGGAGCCTTCAAGAATTGCTCTCCCACCTGCTCTCAGAACATTCACATCCCGGATTAGGAATCAAGCCTCAGCAAAGAAAGGTTAGTGAAAGCTAACCTTTACCACACAGTTCTCTGAATGTTGCTTTCTTCTTCATTTGCTGGTATCACAGAAAGGAAAGGTCCTCAAGGGGGCATACAGAGCATCCCTCTAAATGAAAGACTCTTGCCTCCAGAATAACCCACAGATCCTTTGAGCTGCACACGCTTCCACATCAGTCACACGCATCCTTTCAAGTTAGCTGGGAAGCAGTACAACGGGAAGCCGTTCAGACTGACTCTAACAGCCTTTGCCAGCACGGAGCCCTCCAGATGTTGAGGGGTTCGACTCTCACCAGCCCTAGTCAGCATGGCTAATGGTCAGGAAAGCTGGCGCTCGAGTCCTAAACATATGGAGGGCACCAGGTTGGGAGAAGGCCATTAACAGCCTTCCCCAACTGGGTGCCATCTGGTAAGCATGTACTTAGAAGAAGCTACCACTCCATGAAAATGTTCTGAAAACGTTCATCTAAAAGTTTGGCGCCAAAGAAACAGGGAAGGCGAAGTTTTGCACAGTAAGGTTTTGCTGCTGAGTCTGCACTCAAGAGCAAGGGTGTGGGACACCTTTCAGAGAAGCCCTCGGGGCCGTGTTCCAGTAACGAGGAGGGCCAAGGCCAAAAGAAGCATAACCCAAACCATTCAACATGCCAAGAAACAAACAGCCCACTTTCTTGCCAGTAACTGCAACACAGAAGAGGCATTTCAAGGTTTTGGAATGGGGGAAATGCACAAAGCCCAGGGAGCCATCAAGCATCGGTGGACCATTGGTGGTCTGGGGGAAAGTGGATGTGGCCTTCTGGGGAGCCCAGGAAAGCAGGATTGGGACCCAGGGAGGCCGGATTTTGGTCATGGCCTGAGGCTCTTCACTCCTGCTAGAGAGGGGTGCAGCCAATCACTGCCTTATGACCTAATGTGATAAACATTTGTACCATGGGCCAACATTTTTTTAAAATTGTGTCCAGATCATTTATCCAGTTCGACTTAGGTGTGGAACAGGACAGGCATAGCTGGGCCTCACAGATAAGCCGGCAACAGAGTCTGGGTGCAGACAGCCTAACAAGGCCCATTCAAGGGCTGAGTGTGGGTTATCACTCAACCACTGCGTTATCATATTATCAGAATCCGGCCATGCTAAGAAACCTACATTTCAACAACAACCCATAGTCCAATGACAATTCAGCACTCTACAGCCCTTGAATGTAGGTTATGTTCTCCAACCCCAGAGAGGTTCCTAGAATCACTTTTCCTCCATGTGCCTCTGACCACCTGGAGAAGGTTCCCTCAGCATAATATCACTCAAGTCAGATGATGTTGAGGCCAAGTGGGTTGGGAAATGCTGGGAGTTGCATGATTTCTTCCTTTCCAACTATGGCATTGGATGGCACCCCAAATAATACAGCTTGCCCAGGATTTAGACATCCGTTGCCTTCCACCAGAGAAAGTCGACTCACTTTGCATACAGAGCCCATCGGTGCAGTTTTTGGAGTCCAGCAGCACTCCGCTGCAGTCCTTCCCGCCGTTTCTGGGAGGGGGGGCCGTGCATTCCCTGCTCCTCCAGTGCGTGCACTCCGTGCTACAGGCCGACCACTTGCTCCACTCGGTCCATGCTCCGTCAACTGCATTGCACAGAAGAGACACCCAAGCACAATGAGAGGAGGCCAGCCAGAGACATAAGTGGGGGGCTGAGGGGGAGGACAAGGATCTGTTGCAGAACTGGCGTGCTAACTGCTGAAAGGACCCGCAGGGGTGGGGCTGCCTCTGCTCAATAAATGGCAGGCCCCTCTGAGCTTAACCGAACGGCAGGATGTCACTGTCAGGCAGAAGGGGGCAGGCATCAAGGTCTCCCAAGCACGTGCCTAGGGAAGGGAGCAGTTCCCAAAAATAAAGAGTAGCGCTCCCATTGGCCAAGCAGAAAAGGAGAGAGGGATTGCTTTGAGGGGCAAAGGGGTAGACGGATTTCCCCCAGACCACAAATGCCAAAAATATAAGAAAGAGAGACAGCAAGAGAAGGAAAGAGGCATCTATGAACTGCCTTCTGCCCTGTGAATCTACTCAGGCCCTTGCAGACCAGCTGGTTCTCCCATCATCGCCGCACGTGCAGCAAGTAGGTATAAGAGGCAGGGCATTTTTGCTAGAGACCACCTTTCAGAGCCCCTTCTGGCCTGTGCGTAGGCAGTGATCAAACATTTATCCATCCAAGATTCTGTTGACTCAGGGATCTGCTGCTTAAGGTGGTTGTCTTCTGACACTGCTGTTTTCTAGTTGTGTGTCAAGGATGGCTAACGGTATGCCAGAGCAATACAGCAGTGGACCAGCTGCCTGGGGAGGTGGTGGTCTCTCCCACACTGGAGACATTCAAGAAGAACCTGAGCAGCCCTCTGAGTGGGATGGTGTGAATTGGTTTCCTGCAGGGGGGTGGACCTGATGGCCTTCATGGCCCCTTCTAACTCTTCCATTCTATGATTCTGTGTTTTGTTCTATTTTTAATTGTCTTGATTGACTATTGTTAATATTGTTTTACTGTATGAGTTTTGGGCCACTTTGAGTATATATAAAAGTAGGATATACATTGAATCCTGCATCAATGAAAACAATATTGGGCAATTTGTGGCCTTCCGGATATTGTGGAACTACAACTCCCATCAACCTCAACCAGCATAGCCAGTGGTAAGGTGCAGCCTAACATCTGTTAGGCACATTCTCTACCCTGATCTTGGGACAGCCTCTCGTTCTCTCTCTCCGGGAAGAATCGGCGCTGGTTCTGAGAAATCCACATCTAATGGAATCCTTGGATGGCAAACCCAAGCCCAGGGCATGGAAACAGAATGACTTTCCATATTAGTACTGAGAGTGTAAATTCCCAGTTTGTATCAGAGCTATTCTTACTCCACCAGTTAGGAAGAAGGCTTTTTCAGGAACGCTTATCTACTGTTATTCCTTCTATTTTGGACGTACAGGCATGAGTGCTGATGCATATGCAACCAAAATAGTGCCATTCACACACAACTGGGACATTTTGGCATGTCTGGGGGAATCCCAGAGCTTGCAGGAATAACAAAAATATTTAGAGGAAACACACCCAACAGAGAGACCTTCTGCAAATAAACAGCCCAGTGAGGACTGAATATATTCACTGGGATCAGAGAAAAAAACCAAATTTATGGCCTAGCTGATACGTGTACTAAGCAGCTATATATAGAAGACTGGTTAAAGAATTTTATGTTAAATGGAAAGCCTATTATATATTATCTATTTAGCAACTGAGAGTGTTACTATTAAGTATTATATATACAGTGATCAAATTAATATAATTGGGTTATTATTTTAGAAAAAGGGAAAATCAACTATTAATTGCTGATGGGTTTGTGGTGAATTATTATTATAAGGTGAATTATTATTTACTTGATGCCTACATTAAAGCTTTTTCTTGTAATAACCAAGTATTATTAAGTCAAAATTGTAGTTATAAAATTGATAGTAGTAATAATAATTATTGACTTTTTGTGTAATTTCCTGCACTTATCACAATAAGTAATTTTTGTGTAAGGTCCCTTAATAGCTTTTCTTTCTTTTGCATGTTACTTTTTCTTTGTTTTTTCCCTTTTATCTATGAAAGAACGTTCATTGAGCATGGAAGGCTGTTTGACTGACTCATCAAGTGATAAAAAAAGAGAAGAGGGAAGAGAGAGAAGAGCAGGGTTGAGGGGGAGGGGGGAATAAATGGAATATTCTGACCGAAGGCTCGGAAGCTGAGCAAAGATATTCTAGCTCATTCGATTTGGAGACCCCACCTGTCTCTCACAATTCTCTCTTGGAATTCCACTCCAGAAAATCCCCACTGCCAGAAACCGCCTTGCGTGGAAGAAGCTGGTGCAGCAGCCAGGTAAGGGACTTGGAAAGGAACGCCCACCTGAGCTGTACTTACCTGGGCACATTGTGGTACAGGCAAGCTTTTGGAAGGATTGCCCATCACAGACGGAACCACCATTGAGAGGCGCTGGGTTGGTGCAGGTCCGGGTGCGTTTCTGCCACCCACGGCCACAGCGGTTGCTGCACGGGGACCACTCTGACCAGGTAGACCAGCCACCATTCACTTTGAGCCAGGAAAGAGATGGAAACAAGCCTTTTTAATCCTAAAAGCCAAGGTAAGGCAGCTGAGTAGTAACACTAGCAATTTAGCCTTTTCGATCGCCTTCTCCCTTCACCGTTGCTTCTTCTGTTACAGCTGCTTCTATGGAACATGTTTCTAAACTCCACCGGCTTCATGTGGCACCTGCAGAAGCTTTTCAAAATGAGCGCGCCAATGGCACGTTAATTGTGAGAGGCGGGGCCAAGCCTGCCTTCTAGCGCATAAGGCTCAGTGGCTCCCGCTTGCCTCTTCCTGCTAGTGGGAGGGGCAAAGCAAGCTAGGAACGCTTGGCCCCAGCTTGGTTAGCATGATGCCACCATTCGCACTGGCTTGCCTTTCCTCAGACAGGAATGCTGAGAGCCAGTGTGGTGTAGTGGTTAATAGCATGGGACTGGGACTCAGATGATCTGGATTCTAGTCCCCGCTCAGCCGTGGAGCCAACTGGGTGACTTTGGGCCAGTCACAGACTCTCAGCCCAACCCACCTCACAGGGTTGTTGTTGTGGGGATAAGATGGAGGAGGAGATGTAAGCTGCCTTGAGCCCTTTGCAGGAAAAAGGCAGGATATAAATCAAAAATAAAAATAAAAAAATAAAATGTACCAAGACTTATGTAGCCACAGCGCTACCACCCATGTTGACTACAAGCTAGAGCCGGGACTCAGGCGCAAACCCAGCGACAGACCAGTGACAGTTTCCGGTTTGGCGTTTCATACCGATCAAAGTCAGGGCAGAGAGTCCCTGGGTTATATTGATGTCCATGCTGCCCAACAGCTGGAGCTTTCTGGGCAGTTTGCAACAGCTCAGCCACTCCTACTGGGAGAAGTCAGGCAGTGGTGCTGAGTCACGTACACTCATATGCCGGCTAGCTCAGAGTAACCCAGACTTTTAAAGGAACCTCTCAGGCACCATGTTGTGCACACTGAGCCGGTCACAGCAGCGCTGCCCGTTCTTGGTGAACGCTGATCCCCGATTCCACATGATCCAGGTGAGCAGCCACTGCATTTGTGGGCAGCTGCACAGAAGAACTGACCTCAAGCCATTTTCTTGCAATGCAGAAAAACTTTAAAAACCTCTGGTTTCCTAAATGCGGTCATGGAAAGCAAAATGGGAATTTGCAGTTGCAAAAGAAACTGAAATCTTGTGTGGAGGAAGTGGGCTCCAGATATGGATGAGGGAAGGGCCCGGGAAGAGAGCACCTGCTTCCTAGGGCAACGGTCCCAGGTTCAGTGCCCAACATCTTTAGGTAAGGTTGGGAAAAGATCCTCTCTGAAAGCCCAAAGAGCTGCTGCCAGTCAGTGTCAACTATATTGAGCTAGTTGGACCAAATGATGTGACCTAGACTGAGGATGCCCCAAGGTCCTATACTGCCAGTCCAGGAGAAAAGTAGTTACACAGGCAATCAAGGCAGGTAAGCGGGAAGGTAGGAGCACCCAGTGAGAACCTCCTCCTCACTGACTCTCTAAATTGGCCCTGGTCTAGTCTTGAAGAAAATGGCAGTCACTGGGCTCGGCCAACTGGGGTCCACATGATGGAACTGGGAAAATGCCCTTTGCATGTGATACTCACTGAATCTTTGCAAGCTTCCCCAGAGATAACCTCCTTCTTCTCAGGAGGAGAACCTCAGTGCTGTGTGTTCCTCAAATCCAAGCAAGGAATGTGAACGTGTCTCAGGCAAATAGAAAATTCGTAACAATTCGGGTAAATAGAAAATAGTTGCATCTGATTTCGTGAACTGCCCAGAGTGATTGAGCGATTAGGTGGTCTAGCAATGTAACATTTTACAAAAAGAATAAAAAGGAAATCCACTGGCTTATCAAAGGATAGAACCACATTGGTAGGGGCTCTGAACCTGTAATTGTGTGCACACTTACTTTGTAGCATTTCTCATGGAACAGTGGGATTTACTTCTGGAAACACATGCTTAGGGTCAGGTTATTTGCATTTAGAATGGCTGTCTTCCACAGTACGTAAAGTATTGACAAACTACTTAAGCATCTTTTAAAAACAACACGCTGTCGCAAACCACGTTTCCTTGTCTTTTCCCGTGAACACGAACTTTTGATAAGCCCTCAAATTCCTGCAATGAGAAGTCTGTACCATAGACAATGACTGTGGCAGTGGTGCTCCGCCGTTTGGCGACGATGTTCTTGGCCACACAGGTGTAGTTGGCGGTGTCGGAGAGCCTCGCCTGCTTGATGATGAGGTTGTGGTCGATGGTGATCAGGAAGTTGGTGTCCCGGGAAGGGTCGATCACATCCTCATTCTTCAGCCACTCCACCTAGCGGGAGAAATAGAGGGGAAGGAGGAAAGCGGTCAAACACGGAAGCTTAGGGAGAAGAGTCGGGACAGGGAAGAAGCAGAGCTGTGGCGAACAACTGCCCTCAGAAACAGAAAAAAGGAGTATCATCTCTGTGCGTGCGTGCGTGTGTGCGCGCACATGCTCCTCATAAACAAAGCAGGTGATCTCCACTCCACAAGCAGCTGCCATGGTGGATCTGTTTATGAAAAAGTGACAGACTCCCCCAGGAAACCATGATCGTCCATCCTCTGAAGCCAAGATATGCCCATTTTGCCATATAGACGCACGCTGGGACTGGATCAATCGGCATGTAGGTGTAGCGCAGTAGGCACACAACAACTCATTTCATGCTGATTGACAGTTTCCTACACGGAGGTAATTGTGCAATAGATACAAACCTGCCTTATTTATGATCTATTATAAACAGTATTCCAAAGTATTGCAAAAGTTCTAACATCCAGCATATTTTATCATTTAAAAAGTTGTCCAACTGTCATCCTGGGAGGCCCTCACACAATAACACATCTGGGTTTTCCTCATTGTTCAAGAAAGAACAGATTTCCTTACATATTACCTTTCTATTTTTAATTTTGTTTCCATCTGGTATACCAGCTGGATCGGGAATGGCCTGGTTCACTGCCTGTGAGCAAAGTAAGACATCCAGGAACATCACAGAATCAATTTATTGGCTGCATTTATCTCCTGCCCTGGCTTCTTCTTTATCTTTTATGCACTTAACAACCCTGTGAAGGAAGCTAAGGCAAAAGGGTGTAATGTTCAAAGGCCAGCTTTAGGCCTGCTCTGTCCACATGCTTGGTGGTGGTGGAATGGATAAGAACCAAAGACTAGCGTAGACTTTTACGGTTGGAAGGGGCCAAGAAGGCCATTGAGTCCAACCCCCTGCGGTTGCAGGACACCAGTTTACACAATCCCACTCCAGTTTCTTTTTGAGCACATCACTTTTCTACCATCAGTTTTCTTCACTGAGCAGCTTTCACACTCACACCCACACCGACGCACCCGTAATCAGGAATACAGGAATGTGAACACTCTTGGCTTTGGTCCCCAGTGAAACAGCCTCACACTTGATGAACATGTGACAGATGCCATTGGTTAATCCTTGGGGGACAAAGACTGCCGTGCAAGCAGAAGAGGACTGGCCAGTGCGGACTGGACTTGGCCAGAACCCTTCTCCCTCGTGCCCTTGCGTTCCTTTTGTTTTAATTGGCCCGTCTACCATGGGAAAGCATTCAAAAAACAGCACGCACAGCTCGAAGAGGTAAACCCCATCCTCTCTCATGTGTAGACCAGCCGCCCACCTGCCAGTGCCTGGAGACGCCTGGGGAAGCCTGGGGAGGCATTCGTTGGCTTTGCCAGCAACACTGATGGGCAGCCATGGCTCAGGAAATGCATTGCACGTGTCCCTCGTGCCTCCGAGGCTGATCGTGGCTGCATCTGCACACCCACCCTTCTGTTGCAGGCGAGCCATCGGCTTGCTGGTGGTGTTCTTTCGGTAGACTGCCAAACCTCGTTGGGGGTGTCAGTGGGCCGTGTACGCTTTTACCGTCGTTCTACAAGTCAAAGTACTCACACCACTCATGCTTTTCTTCAGCACTGGTACCATCAGAACCAAGCCTGGATTATGCAAAACACAGATAGTTTCGACTGCTTGGTAACTTCTCCATGGAACACAATGCCTTGTTGGAGGTGCCATTACCTGGCACTGCCATGACAGCCACTTGTAGCCGTCCGGTTATCATGGTATCGGCAGGAAATGGGACCTGCATTAATTGCTCCAGGTTGACTGAGTACATGGTGCCAGTGCAGAGGTGTCTTTCTTGACCATCGCCTTGCTCTTTGAAAGAATGCTGCACTCCTCTTGCAGGGACAGCAGATTTTGGACAGCCTGCCAGTAGACTGGGGTAGGCAATCTGTGTTTTGGACTGCAACTCCTACAGTCCCCGTTCATTTTCCATGCTGGATACGGCATGTGCCTGTTGCATCCCAAAACATCTGGAGGGCCCCAGCTTGCCTGTCCAGACATGTATCAACTGATTTAATTGATAGCTTCCCTATAGCCTGAAGTGCCTGATCCTGCCTAATCTTGGAAGCTAAGCAGGGTCAGGTCTGGTTTGCATCTGGATGGATGGCTTGAGTGTATGATTCTGTGATGATTCTTATAAACTGCCCAGGCAGCTTCGGCTACAGGTGGCATAGAAATGTTAATAATGATAACTTATTATATTTATATCCCACTTTTTTCTTCTTGCAAAGAACCCAAGACAGCTTACACAATCCACTTTTTCCTTTCCATTTTATCTGGAACCCTGATAACCCTGTGACTCTTAGCTTGAGACCTATGGAATGCGCTCCCCAGAGAGGTTCGCCTGGCGCCGTCGTTATTTGCTTTTCGGCGCCAGGCCAAGACCTTTTTATTTAAACGTCATTTTAATTGTTAACATTATTTATTGATTTTATATCTTTGGCCAGGATGTCTCCAATTATATTGTTTTATATGTTTAATGTGTATTTATTTATTGTTGTGAGCCGCCCCAAGGCTTCGGCAAATGGGGCAGCATACAAGCTTGCTAAATAAATAAAATAAAATAAAATAAATAGTGACTGACCTAAGGTCATCTAATGGGCTTCATGCCCTAATGGGGACTAGAACCAGAATCTCTTGAGTACCTGTCCAACGCTCTAACCATTACACTGCACTGCCTTTGCTTACATCCCATAGTGGCTGCCAGAAGCAGCAGAGCAACCCTGCCTCATGCCTGCAACATCCTCTGAGCTTCACAGAAGATTCTGTACTGGAGTTTCTTAAGTCCAAGCCAAGATCCAGCCATTAGATCCCATCGGTTGTTTACAAAGAGATCACAAGGTGCCAAAGGGAGTGATGGGGGAGGCCTTGTGCAGAGATGGCCAATTCAGGAAAAAACCCTACAGATGTTGGCATTTCCAAGTCCCAGCAGCAGTCTCTCTTCTTCCCTAGAAAGCCATCCATTCTGTAGTTGCTTTGCTACTTTCTGTCAGGGGTTAATGGCTGATCAGCACATGTGGGAGGGAGGGAGGGAGGGAGGGAAGGCTGGGCTGAACAGGTGTTGAGGTTAAGTATGTTATTAGGTGTCAGAATAACAGATCCGCTGCTTAAAATAAACACTTCTGCTGAATAATGAAAGCAGACGGCCTCAGCGTGGGGTAATCCATCAGGGTCCCAATCCATCTTCAAGGGGTGACTCATTTACCTCATGTGCTCATTTTCTGACTATAAAATGGCCGTCTGCTGAAGTGCCAACACTCACAGTTGGAACTTTTACAGCGCTGGCCTAGAACAATGGGGCAGATGAGCACACGGCTGAGAGGCGTGCATAAGAGGGAGTAGGCGGCTGGGCAGATATTTCAGGAGAAACACTAGTGCCCTGTGATTTATTAATGGGCTGCAATGGGAAAAAATTGCATCCTTGCCTACAATTATTCACCTTCATGATGAGCCTTTGGGGAAGGCACAGATGTGTCCAGCTGTGGGAGGAAGGCAGGAAGTTTCTGGTTACCAACTGCCAGCAAATTTAGGGGGAATCAGATATTGCAGCCACTAAGATCCATAAAACGAATCTGCATGGCTGATTTTTTTTTTAAAGGCAGGGGACAAAATATTTCAAGAGGTTTCAGGAAGAGGAATTCTAGGGAAGGAAAAGTAACTTTCATGAGAGGGCAGCAGCCCTACTGAAGAAAGAGCAAAAGTCTAACCCATCTTTCCCCAACTGGCACTCTCCAGATGTGTTCCATTGCATCTCCCATCATTGGGAGTGGAATGCACATATCCTTATGCAGAAAAAGAACATGGGAAGCCCTGTTAAGCAAATGCTTTAAAAAGGAAGCAGCGTTTTGACAGCTAGCTGTCAAATCTCCATACTCCCGTAAAAGTGGGTGGTTTCCACTTTCCCAAGAACCTGGAGTTTCAGGAAAGGGTGGAAAAGTGAGAGGAACCAAAACAGATCCAGGTTGAAAATCACACCAAGAATGCCCACTCTCTCCTCATGAGCAGCCATACCTCACAGCTTTGTTTTCTCTTGTCAACTTGTCATTTAACAGCTGTCAAGAGGAAGCAGAGGGGAAAAAACTCTTGGCAGTTTCTCTGGCGCCATGCCCATGAGAATTGTCTGCTTCACTTCGACAGCAGACACCTACCCGCAGGAGCGGCATGCCAGTTTGGACTCACAGAAATTTACAATTGTGCAAGTCCTGCTAGAAATAATTTTTCAAATTATTAGAAGCGACGAACCAGTAACAGCCCCTTGAAAGTGCCCTTTGGCCACCGTGAAGAGGCTTTCGCTAGCTGTCAAACTCACAGTGGTGAAAAGTGATCTCTGAAAAAAGCAAAATTCTGGGGGCAGAGGAATGACAGCAAGCGCAAAAGGTCACGGATTCACAGTGGGAAGCGTGGTCAAGGCAAGCTTGCTGCTAAGGGAAGCTGGCAAGAGTGTCATGCAAAGACCGCCACGTGGGAAACGGCTCAGGTTTGCATGGCACAACTACCCACCATGGCTTTTCACCCATGATGGGTTACTGGGTGAACCCAGTCCGAAAGCCACTGGCCCAAGGACATGCAGTGAGAGGCATCAATTAAGGATTCTAACACAGTTCACCCCAGCTGTGGTTTGACACTCCCTGCAGACTTATACTGCTGCTGGATGCCTGAACTGTAATGGTGTGTCAGACTCCTTTGGCCTGTCCAAAGACTGGCAGTCCGTGTTCTTTGTTCATGTTGAAGACTGTGCTCTGATTGCATATCTTAATTAAGTAGAAGGGGTGCTGAGGTTTCAATTTGCAGTAGAAGGCGGGCGAGTAAGATGGATCTGGTTGCTTTCCAGCTCTACTATGATCCAGCCTGAATGTGGGACTGTAAAATCAGAGGCCAAGAAAAGTTTTCTGTGGCTTTATGCATGCACAGCCGTTTTTTCCTAATGGGCACAAGAGGCATCACACAACGCCCAGGAAAATGCATTCTTCCACATATATTTCGCAGCAATCCTGGCTGCGTGTCGTTGCATCTGGCAAGCGCCACTTATTTTGCGGGGACACGGTGCCAGTCTCAGGTGACTACTTCAAAAAGCATTGTCTGGTCAAAACTTGTTGAAGAGTTCGGCTTTCTGCTGCCGCAACCTCCCCTCCAAGGCACTGATAAAAAGCAGTGAGTGGCAGGCCCTGGCTTCACGGAACAGAGCAAAAAACCCTCTGCCAGGCTTCTTCTCCACAAGAAGGACAGGTGTATCATTACAGCTTGTAGGTGGCTTGAAACTGGGAAACAAATCTGAAAGGAACGAGAGCTGTCTGGCCTTTGCATAGCATGATAAACTGTCAGAAAGAGCAGGAACAGAAAAAGCAAGGCCCGCGGGAGCCCAGAAATGCAGGGGGCACAAATAAATCCTAGCCGAGGGGTCGGAGCACACGGGGGAGGCAAGATTCCACCCAGCGGCAAGAGTAGCTCACAAGCTTAAGAAAATAAACTGGACGCACATTGCAGGCAGTGTGGCAGTCTGCATGTGTACGAGGGAACAAGCGTCACTGAGCTCAGAGGGCTTGTTTTCGAGTAAACTTGCCCACGTAGCTCATCCACTTGCAGCTACAGCTGGAGTTTGCTGGGATCTGAGGTCCGACAGAGCTGGACAATACCAGGTCGGGGATGGCTGAGCTAAACCAGCAGAAAACCGTTCAACTGTATTGCTTTTCAGTGAGAAGTTGTTTTTCACCTGTGGGAACCCCACGACAGCCCTCCAAAATGTCCGGTCCATGACAGGTCTGTTCAGCTCTTCCAAGTTCAAGGCTGTGGCTTCATTTAATGGAGTCAGTCCATCCCATATTTGGTCTTCCCTTCTGGCTTTTGCCTTCACCTTTCCCTAACGTGCTTGTCTTCTCCACGCTTCTCATGATGTGTCCAAACTATGACAGCCTCGGTTTTGCCATGTTTGCTTCCAGGGAAAGCGCTGGCTTGATGTGATCTGGGACCTGCTTGCTTGTCTTTCTGTCAGACCAGGATATCAAAAGCTCTCTCCTCCAGCACCATGTTTTGAACACATCAATTTTCTTCCTGTCAGTTTTCTTCATTGTCAATCTTTCATATCCCCACATGATGGTTGAGAATACAATAGTTTGGATGACCTTGGTCTCCAGTAAAATGCCCTACCTAACACTTGATGATCTTTTCTAGTTCCATCATTGCCACCATTCTAATGCCCAGTCGTCTTCAAATTTCTTAGCTGTAGTCTCCCCGTGAATTGATGACTGAGCCGAGGAATATGAAATCTTTCACAATTTCAACTTCTTCAGTATTAACAGAGAAGTCCTGTAATTCTTCCACGGACATGATTTTTGTTTTCTTGATATTCAAATGTACAGACAGAGGGAAATGTAAAACGGGTATAAAATGCTCTCCCTCACACACTATGAAGGACAGCCCATCCCTGGGCATCTAGAAATTTGTCTTATGTGTATTTTAAAAGCTATTAGTCTCTTGATCACAAAAAATGTGGCCTTGTAGGAATCGTCACAGTTTCAGCTACACAGACACCTCCCAGAAGGTACTGCTCTAGTCCGCCTGGCTTACCTCAGCTGTCGGCACTCCCTCAGGTGGACGGCACTGCAGAAGGACTTCATGATCCAGTGGCACCTCTTTCCCAAGGGGCTCCTGGTCAAAGTTCTTCCGTAGGTCTAAGAAAGGGAAACAAGCAAAGCGCAAGCATCAGCTACCCAGGTTCCTGCAGTCCTTCCCTGTTTCCATGCTCCAGCTGAGAAGCAATCACAAGCTTGGTGCATCTTAACAATCGCTGAGCTGCTGGCCTAGGAGGGCCAGGTAATTCTCACACAAACCAGTGGCTGTGCTGGGGATGATGAGAGTTGTGGTTCCGCACAGCTGGACAACACTGGACTGGGGAAGGGGGATGCGTGGGGATTGCTGTAATAAGTGAGACCAGCGGCATGCAACCTGGCCTTCCACAGATGCACTGGACTACAGTTCTCGGAATCTGTGATCACTGGCTCTGCTGGCTGAGACTCATGTGAGTTGTAGTACAAGATAGCAGGAACATACCAGTTGCTCACTGCTAGGTTAGACTAACACTATCCTCAGTCCATAATCCTGTCTAGGATTAATCCCCAGCAGAAGCCACAGGGAAATTAAGAAATGAGTTCATGCCACTCGCTGCCAACACTTATTTCTTTACTTATTAAATTTCTGTACTGCCAACAGCCAACGCTTTCTGAGCAGTCATTCATGCTGCATCTCTGTTATGCTCACTTCCTCCATCTCAGTCTATACCCTAATCAGGTCCGCCTGGCGTCGTTGTTATTTGTTTTTCAGCACCAGGCCAAGACCTTTTTATTTAAACGTTATTTTAATTGCTAAGTGTATTTATTGATTTTATATTTGCGCCAGGATGTCTCCTGATTTTTAATGTAATTGTATAGTTTTTATTTGTTTTGGAAGCCGCCCCGAGGCTTTTGCGAATGGGGCGACTTATAAATGTTCCAAATAAATAAATAAATAAATAAATAAATAAATAAATAAATAAATAAATAAATAATCAGGGCTGTGTGTATGCCCTGAGGCACAGGGCACACCCTGTGCTGTGAGGACACAAAATTCAGAATAAAGTATTTAACCCAAAATTCAATCTTTGATGAACATCTCTTTTTGTTTGCTTTAAAAAAACCAAGTTTCTAGTCCACATTGAGAAGGAGTACTGGAAAGTGTGAAGCTGAATAAGCTTTTCAGTGGTTGAGATGCTTTTCCACAGCCTGCATAGAACGAGGCCTTTCCCAGTGACAAGCCAAACTGGGAAAAAGAATACAGAACAGAGCAAGGGTAGCCAATGCAAAACTTTGCTCAATTGGTGCAATTTCTACTGGTTACAACATTTATATTTTCTGGCTATAGATTGCTAATAATCTGAACAAAGATTTTTTTCCCATTCACATTTTGCACAAAGAGATCCCCAAACATGATATTCCTTTGCTAATATAGATGGTTCACTTCCGTAAGATTATTGCATCGGGATTTAGATGGAACAATATCAGGAGGAAAAAAGCAGGAGGAAATCAAAGCTCAACAACAAACATTCAAAAAAGACCACAAAAACAATCCAATCATTTGTTTCTGGATAAAGTGTGTCCTTAAATGTTTCCAGCTTTCTGAATGCCATTTCATCTCACTCTACTAGAAAAGGCTTTTATTCAAGGAATTCAAGTATAAAGGGACCGTGATTCTGATTAGAAATCGCCTCAGTGTTCTTTTACTGAAACAATGTTTCTGAAGGGACCACTTCACCCTGAAACAGCATTGTAGCTGAACCACACATGGCTGCCACACCACAATGCTTCCTTTTCTCACTGCAATGAGGAGGCAGGGATCTGTGGGAAAAGACACTTATTGAAGAAAGAAGCTTTGTACTTCCACACTGTCCATTTCAGGTGATGCATCAATAAGGGGTTTCAAAAGTCCTCAGCTCCCATCCCGGTAGCTAAAGGAGCCAGCGAGAGAGCTTGGCACAGATCGTATTTCATGCTGAAGAACACAGTCGCTTGAGAGCGAGCCCCTTCCACTTGCAGGGGGGAGGTCTGACTTTCAGGGCTGCTGCTTAGAGAAAGCTGCTAGACCACATGGGTGAACAGACTGAGTTTGCTGAGCATTCAGAAACCAGAAGTGTGACAGTTGAGAGAGCAGCGGGTCTTGGAGCCCAGCATAATGCCCCTGCTTCTTGTGCCCAATTTTCTTGCCTCTGCTAACTCCACTCCCTGGGAAAATGCCTCTGTTTCCAGCTAGCTCTTCCCCATGTCATGAGCAGAGCCGGCTGGAGCCGGGGGTCAGACTAGATGGCCCGGGAGACCCCTTCTGACTCGCTCTGTTTCTGTGTTGTTGTTGATATTTATAGATTTATATTCTGCCCTTTTAATTTTAAAGACTGCAAAGTGGGCTACATCATTCTTCCTGTTCTCAATCTTATCCTCACAACAACAACCCTGTGAGGTAGGTAAGGCGGAGAGTCTGTGGCTGGCCCAATGCCACCCAGTTGGCTCCATGGCTGAGCAGATTGCCTGAGTCTCAGTCCCGTGCTCTTAACCACTACACCACACTGGCTCACAGTTCCCCATATATCAGGCTCCTTCCCAGTGCCCTCGGAATTCAGTACACAGCATTGGATAAGTATTCCATCACCTGTGGTCACCCAAGACAGAGCAATGCTTGCAATATTAAGTGCCTATTATTAATGCTTGAATGCTGCATCAATATCATAAAAATCCTATGAGTCCTTACAAAACTAGTCACCTGAGTAACAAATAACCAGTAGGTGGCACTAGAATCCACCTAGTAGATCTCAAAACACCGTGGACAAATTGTTCCAAATAAAAATAGATGTTGTCCAAAGTCATTATTTTCGAGGATCATGATGACCAGGATAAGTTGCCATCTTGTTTTATGAAATGGGATCTACAAGGATCAAGTTTATCACAGCACGATCTACAACGGTTCCCTAGCTAAGATTGCTCAACCCTTTTAGAATTGCAAGAACCCACCAATAATTACCCATATTTAACTGTATTTCTATTCCTTGGAAATATACAAAGTTGTTTTTTGGTGGACCAGGGGAAGCAAGCCATGCAGACATAAATCTTCTCCTTCACACCCAGACACATTTTGAAATGTAGGATCAAGGTCAGGACATCCACAGAAGTCCTGGATTATTAAAAAGGTAATCTGCAGTTATCTCTTCCTGGACCTGTGTGGACCAGCCACACCGAAAAGACAGCCAGATTCTTGGCTATTTCATCTTGGAAGAACTTCCTGTCATTCAAGTGCCACAGCAATCTGTTTAATTAACAGAACATTAATTAACCAGGGGAAAGCTCCATACAACCAGAGGTACAGCTCAAGGTGTTCCCTTTTACTGCAAAGCCCACAAGGGATTATGTATCTCCAGGCTGCTTAGAAATTCTACGCATGGAGTGACCAGCACTAGTTAAAGGCAGGCAAACCCAATAAATAATCTTCAACGCGCCCCCACACTAATTTGATCCCCTGCAGGATCCCCACTGAAATATCTCCCTCAAAATGTAGATGGTGCCTGCAGCTCATGCCTTGTTCACTGGTGTCGAAGTCCATGAGAGCACTGCTGTGAAAGGGGATCCCCACCAGAGCAACGCAGAAAGCAAGATTACCTCGCGCCGCATTCGGCACCTTCGCACTTGTAAACCACACCGACTCGAAAGGAAGAGGACGCTGTGTGTGTGCGCATCATGACAGGGAGACAGTACAATGCCACACCATTTCGGGCAGACAAAATCAAATGCCCCCATGCGCACGGATGAAATGAATTACCCAGACATCATCACCTTCCCTCCAACCTTCCAGAACCTTTGGACTACAATTCCCAGCATTCCTGACCATCAGTCATGCTGGTCAGACCGACTAGGAGTTGAAGTCCCAAGCTTCTGTGTGCATAAGGCTGGAGGCGGCTTTAGAAATCACAGAGAGGAGTTAAAAGAGCCCAGAAAATGAAATATTATTTCCCTTTTTCTCATAAGCCGAGAGCAGGCGTTTCAACTTGTCCTCCAGGGAACACAGGGCTTCCTTACAAGCTTATCTGAGGTTCCTAATTGAGAAGACAAGCCACGGAGTACATGCTTCCCTAAAATACAGCATGCTCATCAATTTTCCCATGCAAAACGTGGCTGCAGCAGGACAGATATATTCCAGCGTGCATTTTCAGCTCGCAGGGGACAGAAAAACCCCACTGGTCTGGCAAGGGGACCAGGTGTGCACCCAGGAAGTGTGTGTCCTGGAATGGCAGGTAAGAGGAGAGGGAGAAGAGGGTGGCTGCCGGACTGAGATGGAGGCGGAGGAAGAGAAAGAGGGTGGAAAAGAAAGGGGGGCAGCAAGACCAACAAGGCAAAACAGGAAGCTCCAGCCCCCTTTTGGCCGTGGCTCTGTCCACAATGGGGGAAAAAATCCTATTCTTTGCCCTAAGCCCTCCCAGTATGGATCTCTGGCAATTTAACAGGGACCTCCCAAAAATCCAGCAATGATCTCTGGTCACCACCCTCTATTGTTAGGATCTAAATTTTGAAGTTCTCCTGATCTTGCACTCAGGGAACCTCTTTTTTCACCAAAGGAATGAGATAATTATAGGCCATTTAAATCCTTAAGATAATAAAACCACATTGATAAATGATGCCTAGCTGGAATTTCTCTTTCAGCTTGCTTGCTTGCTTGCTTCCCATAAGATGGGCCCAGGGAAAATTAACATCAGAGTCTTTCGTTTAGTCAGGGCTACTGCATCTCTTGCCTTCTCTCACACACCGATGGGCCATACGTCTGTGTAATGGTACGTGTTTGATCAAACGTAAACAGCTCTCACCGTATACCTCCACGTTGCACCTCAGCGATGTGCACAGGATGCATTAAGCACCAGGCCCAACCCAAGGAGCGAAAACGCTTCCAAGACTTACATGCTATTCGGACATAAGCCCGTCGACTTTTGGTGGTCCCAGCTGAGCTCCACGCCACACACTGACACCAATAGTCTTCTAAGCCAAAGAGTTCCTCCACCTGCTGTCGAGAAACTTCGATCTGGACTTCTCTTACAAGGAGCCCTGGAATCAGGAAAAAAAGGAGGAGGAGGAAATGGTTATGGGAATCAAAAAGATGAGAAGCTGGGAGAGTTGTACATGTATATGAAACACCTGTCCTTTGGGACCATGCTCACCCCAGTCTATAGGCTTAGCAGTCTCCTTTACCAAAGAGGGGGTGCCCTATTTGCACTGGCTGATCATTCCTAAATGTAGGAGAACATTCTTGATCAAAACATTCAGTGCACTTCCATCTGAACTTTCAGATGATAGACACGACCCACCCCTCTCTTGCAACAGAAGCTGTCAGTGTAATAATATTGAGGGTGGATGCTGCATGTTTTATTGTCTTGTAGTTTTATCAAGAGGCAAGAAATGACCTTTTAAATCCTCTTATGCAGTCCTTTCCTCTTCATTTCACTGAATTTTTAACAATTTTATTACTCAAAAGCTTGGGTCTGCCAACTGCTGAGCGAGTGACTAAATTTTTGTATTTGGCTATTCTTACTCGATCTCTTATGATCAGCTGCTTTCTTGATGGCAAGAAATATTATTTATGCTTGCATTGATTTTGTGAGCTGGATGGTCTATTGACTGCAATAAAGACTGAACTGAAACAGCACCTGCCCAGAAGAGTGAAATGCACTTGTAGGGCATAAGTGAGAGACAGCAGGAAAAATGCTGAATAAGCACACGGACAACGAGGCACTATGGAGCACAGCATCTGTGGCAGCTTTTCCCGAACAGGTACCCTCCAGATGTGTTGGACTATAAATCCTATCATCCCCATCCTGTGCCGTCTATGGTCATGCTGGATGCTGATGATGAAGGCTGTAGCCAATGCATCTAGAGGGTGACAGACTGGGCAGGCTCCTGTCTGAAATCAGGTGAAGTCTCTGAGCTATCACAATGGGGCCAACCAGACAGGAGCAGTTTAATCAGTTCAGGTAGGAAAGCATTCCATGGATCATCAACCAAACAACTCCTGCATGTCTTTTCCCCATGTTTGCTCCTGTTTGATATTTCCCCAAATGCACAAAGCAGATGTGAGCAGCGGCGATGCCCGTGCCTTTCCAAGAGGCCACACACTTCATCTGGCATCTCCTGTACACTGGCCCAATTGCCGCTTGCAACCAGCATTACGTGGACATAATCTGTGACAACTGGGAAGAAGGCCTTCTCTGCTGCAGCACCCCGATTACATAATAACCTTCCTATGGAGATGCAGCTGGAACCAACATTACTTTCTGTCTGGTACCAGGCTAGCAAGTCTGCTGGACTGGGCATTTTAAACTGGTTCATTAAGCTGGTTAAGTGAGCTGCCCATTTTATGTATTCCCCATCTCTTTTGCTTTGTACTGTGTGCTCTATTGGGACCTCTTTTTTACTACACTTTGTATACCTGCTTGGCGTCACCAGCTGAAGGAGAGGTATAAAAATACTCTTAACACGCATTGAGACAAAGAACAAATACAACTCCTATCATCCCCAGGTGGCATGAGGCTCCCTGCTCACAAAGGACTTCTTATAAATCTATTTTTGTTACAAGGAAAGTCCAGCACTGTCAACACTGTGGCTCTCCAGGGTTTCATGCGCGAGGCTTTCCCAGCCTCACCTGGAGAAACCTGCCAACTTCTGCATACAGCACAGGTGCTCAGCCACTGTGCCACGGCCCCTCAGTGCTTTCAAAATGGCCAGGAGGCCCATCCGGTCCAGGAGAGCCAGACACCATGAAGATTACTGCCTCTTTCAATGGTCCAGAATACCTATTAAATCCTTCTGGGCCAAGTGGTGCCATTTTGTGTGAAAACAAAATCCAACCCAGTTTTGAAGGGCCTTTTATTGTTATTGATAAATTTGTGCATGTCTATCTCACCTTTTCCTGCAAGGTGTCCAAAGGGGCATAAATGAGCTGCCTCCTCCCTCTCTTCACCTCACAACAACCTGTAAGGTAGATCATGCCGAGCGCGGTGACTGGCCTGAAATCACCAATGGCCAAGTGGGGACTAGACCCGGGTCACCCCAGCCTTAGCATAACCCTAAACCACACTGGAGCCCTTTTGCCATGGCAAAAGATGGGATCTCCTGGCAGACCCCCAGGAGCAAAATAGGGTGCTCTTAGCCCTCCCATATTTTTATTTATTTATTTATTTATTTATTAAAGTACGAATGGCAGGAGGAAATTGCAGCAAGAAAGTAACAAATGGATGGAGGTGAGACTTTTATACCATTAAGAACTGAATATAAACAGGCAGAGCAAAAAAGAAAAAAGTTAAAAACGTTAAAGAGGGAAATCATCAAGTGGCAAGAGAGGCTGCTTTTGATCAAATGAGCTTTCTATTGCTGGCGGAACACTAGAAGCACCCAAGGGTGATAACTCTGAAAGGGCCATTACCAACGCTCAACTGTTTTTCAGAAGCTGTATTACTACGGGCTAAGCCTTACCCCATTACTCCTTCTGTTTTAGTGCAACCTTAATCGCTTCACCGCCACATTAAGACTCACAGCCGCCATTCAGTGAAGCACATAAGCATGTGCTTTCCTCTTACTACCTCAATATAGTAAAACCTCACTGCCAATTGTCTACAAATGAAGAGTAGAGTGGATTCAGCCGCAGTAAAAGCAACTGTTCCTCTTGCCTTTTGCTTTATGTCCACTGTATTTCATTTTTGAAATAAAAGAAGGAAAGACCCGCACCTGAATGCACGGAATCCAGTAGCTAACGATGGTGCTCAGGAAATGCCCTGGGTTTGGGGCTGTTTATGCCCTCCATAAAGATGGTTGCTACTTTAATTAACATGGCAGGTAGGGACAGACAAGGGAAAAGACTCCACTAATAGCTGGCATTTCCTACTGCTTTCCATGGGGCCTGGGAAGCTGCCAACTTATTAATAAGAATGGGCCTCAGAAGTCTCCTTCTTTGTAGTCTGAGCCTTCTGCTCAAATTCTAAATGATCCGAACTGACTCGTTCTGCAGGTAAATACCACATTTGCTTCATGCCCTTCAAATGGCTGCTATTTTTCAAATCTGAACTAATTCCTTGCTGTGTCCATAAGCATGATTGCAAATATCTCAGCACTCAGTCCAAACCTCACATAAGCACATAAGGACTAGGGCTCACAAGACCTGGGTTCCAACCCCCACTTGGGTGCAAAATCCTAGGTGACCTAGGCTCTCTCACAACATCTTGTTTTAAATTACTTGCAAGGTTGTTGTGATGGTAAGATGAGGGAGGAAGGAGGATCATGTATAATTCTGGTGAGCTCTTTGGATGAAAAGGAGGTGTTGGGACAATTCAGATAAATCCTGGCAGAAAAAGGTTGCTTGTACCTGCCTTTGCGTTATAAAAATACATAGAAAAGCAGAACATAGAAACAGAGTGAGTCAGAGGTGCCTCCCAGGCCATCTAGTCTGACCCCTGGCTCCAGCCGGCTCCACTCATGGCATGCCTACCAGGCACCCCTTTCTGAGAAAGCATCAGGATTCCAAGTCAGCATTTGTTTAGCATTTGTTGTTACTTTAAGAAGTGGGAACTCACAGCTCCCTGAGAAGCTGCCAGGGCTATTCTTTTTCGAGGATCAGTAAGGGCTGATAAGGCTGCCAGGTTAACAGCATTGCAGTCACCCTAATTAGTGTGACCAAACTCACAGGGAAGACTGGCAATGACTCCTGATGGTTATATCACTCTCCTGTCATCAGTGATAGTGTATTGAATCCCCTCTGCAGACCTCTCGCCTTCTTCTGACTGTGTTCCCTTATTTATTTATTTATTTTATTTATTTATTTATTAAAACATTTTTATGCCGCCCCATTCGCCGAAGCCTCGGGGCGGCTTACAACATAGATAAAACAAGTTAAAATCCATATAAAATAATCTTGATTAAAACTCACATTATAAAATAAGCCGCCCTGGCCAGATAAAATTCAATTGTATTTAGCATTTAAAATGTTGCTTAAATAAAAAGGTCTTAGCCTGGCGCCGAAAAACAAATAACGACGGCGCCAGGCGGACCTCTCTGGGGAGCGCATTCCATAACTTAGGCGCCACCGCTGAGAAAGCCCTTCTCCGAGTAACCACCCTCCTAATTTCTCTCACGGAGGGCTCCCGGAGAAGGGCCTCTCCCGCCGATCTCAGGGGGCGACTGGGCAAATATGGATGTAAGCGCTCCTTCAGGTAACCAGGACCCAAGCCGTTTAGGGCTTTATAGGTCATTACCAACACCTTGAATTGGGCCCGGACTTCAATGGGGAGCCAGTGAAGCTGACGGAGAACTGGCGTCATGTGAACATAACGTCCAGTCCCCGTCAGCAGCCTGGCAGCTCTATTCTGAACCAATTGAAGTATCCGGACCGTCTTCAAGGGTAGCCCCACGTAGAGCGCGTTACAGAAGTCAAGACGGGAAGTCACCAGCGCATGAGTCACTGTTGCAAGGCAGTCGTACTCCAGGTAGGGGCGCAGCTGATGAATCAGCCGAAGCTGGAGGAAAGCGCTCCTCGCCGCTGTTGTCACCTGAGCTTCAAGTGAAAGCTCCGGGTCGAGGAGCACTCCCAAGCTGCGGACCTTGTCCCTAGGAGGGAGTGCAACCCCATTCAGGACAAGGTTCAGGTCACCTTCTCCGAAGCCCGAACCGCCAACCAACAGGACCTCCGTCTTGTCTGGATTGAGCTTCAGTTTATTGGCCCTCATCCAGCCCATTACCTCGGCCAGGCACCGGTTCAGCACAGCCACTGCCTCACCTGGATTGGTGGAAAACGAGAGGTAGAGCTGGGTATCATCAGCATACTGATGGGTCCGCAGCCCACACCTCCTGATGACCTCTCCCAGCGGTTTCATGTAGATATTGAACAGTAAAGGGGACAAAATGGAACCCTGCGGTACCCCATGGCAAAGCTGCCATGGCGCAGAGCCATAGTCCCCCAACACCACCTTCTGGAATCGGTCGTTGAGATAGGAGCGGAACCACCGCAAAGCGGTGCCTCCGACCCCCAATCCCGCCAGCCTATCCAGAAGGATACCATGGTC